GGGATGTGGAGACACGCTTCCATGAGGTCTATTGACACCAGGAAGTCTCCCTGTCTGATGCCTCCTAGGATGGACTGGAGTGATTACATCTTGAATTTCTTGTATGCAATGTAATAATTCAGACCTTTGAGGTCTAGAATCGCCCTCCATCCACCCGAGGTTTTGTGAACCACTAAGAGGATGGAGTAGAATCCCCTTCCTTTGTGATATGGCAATACCGGTTCTATGGCCTGAATGTCCAGAAGATGATGAATGGCCTCCTGCATAAGCCCTGCTTGATTGGATCCCGAGATGTGGGGCAGGTGATGAAGTGATCCAGAGGGCTGGCCAGAAAGTCGAGGGACAGACCTATAGAACCCAGCTGTCCATGGTTGTAAGCTCCCACCGATGAAAGAAGTGGTTCAGCCGGCCTCCTATGGGGAGGGTGACTTGAAAGTCACTTGGACCTCCTGAAGGGATGTCCTGTCTCTCGAAATGGTCTTTTATTCTGAGGTTGTTGTCTGGACCTAAAACCTGCCCTGTCATATGGATGGTCATATGGGCGGTCTTGTCTGGGTGTGAAAGGGCGGGAGGGTTGGGTGGCTGTTGAGCCTGAAGCTTGCCGAAAGGGCTGCCTCCAGGAATAAGGGGTGGCACGCTTGTCATACCATTTGGTAAGATGACTTTCCACTTATCCTTGTTTTCCACAAGGAACGGATTTAGGGCTTCATCAAAGAGATGGTTGCCCTGGTAGGGGGTGGTTGCAAGGCAGCATTTGGCCTTGGCATCAGCCTGCCAGTGCTTGAGCCATAGCATCCTCCTGGCTATAACATTGGAAGGTAGGGCTCTTGAGGCAAAGTTTGCCAACTGCAGAGTAGAGTCTGATGCATATTCCGTTGCCGCAACCATCTTGCTTAAGTCCTAATAGTCCGAATGTCCTCGGGAGGGAGTCTGGCTTGAAGCTGATGAAGCCATAAAAGGGTGGTTCGGACAAAAAAGGATGCGCAAGTGGCCGTTTTAATGGCCCACGAGGCCGCTTGATGGGTCTTGCGGAAGTCAGATTGCATTTCCTGTCCTCTGCCTTAAGTGGCTTGGCCATGTCTCTGGAGACCGCTCTCTGGGATACCAGAGGGGTCCAGGCTTCATCTACCTTTGCCTAAGTGAGGTTTTTGGAGGTGCTAAATAGTTTCTTGTCTGTTCTGCCGATGGAGGGGAGGAAGATGGGGACACCCATTGTTTCTTGATCCTAGTGAGGAATATGGAGGGGCAGGGAACATGGTGCTGGGTCGCTACGGTTTCGAAGAAAACCGGCTTCGGACTCGCCTCAGATGTGGCTTGTGGCTGAGGGAACTGATCGGACCCTATATTAGCCGTAGTGGTGGCCTTGCGGAGCAAGGGGAGAAACAAAGCCGGATTAAACAGGCCTCCACATGGAGAGGGGTCTGGGAGAAGCTCTTCCTCTTCTGACCAATTAAATTCTGGCTGATCACCTCCCATGGGAGATGAATAGCCACTGATTGAGGAGCGGTCAGGAGACGAAGGTTCCTGAAACAGGGGAATCCCCACTGGAGGGGTGGAAGGAGGAATGGCCGATGTAGAGGCCTCCTGCCGGGCGGGTGGTAAGACCTTTCTGCGAGTGCCCGGTCCCCAACTTTGGAGAGCAGGGCCTCAAAGCGGCCGTCGGAGAATATATCTCCTAGTTCTGGCCCCCTGAGACCGGCGGCTGTTGGAGTGAAGGTGGCCTCAGGGGCTGAACCTGAAGCAAATGACGTTGGGCTGGTGGCTGTGTGCTGGGCTGCCAGAGTGATGGAGTTGTCCGCCAGGGACCACACACCTGAGCCAAGGTGGAAGGACCCAAAGGGAGATTGAATTCTGGGGCCACCAATTGATCCCTCTCATTCTTTGCCTGTTTCTGTGCTCTGGAGAACTCCTTCTCCAGAGCCTGGTGCTTATGGCTGGCTTGCGTCTCCGCCAACCTGGAAGCCTTCTTGAGTGTGCCCTTCACCTTGTTCTTGAGCTTGCCCGCTGCCTTCTGGTTGGAGGTTTTGCATTGGCGTGACTTGAGGATGGGGATACGGTGCTCATGGGTTGAGGTACCATGGAGTCTTCCATCCTGGGTTGAGCTATCTCAGGAAACCTGAGGGGGAGCTATGGCAGGCAAGCAGTTGGCGGGAAGAGTAGTTGGAGCAAGTAATGAGGACTGCTCCCCTGACCACCTGACCAGGTAATAGGTCTCTCTGGGAAGAAGGTCACGGCTGTGAAATTAAGGCCGAAGGCACGGTTGGGACCCGCTCTGGGCTCCGCCTGGAGGCCTTAGGTGGTCAGTCAATGTGCACCAGAGGGCCCAATGAAGGGCGCAGAGGCCTGAAAGGGAGGCCTGGCAAGGGAATGGCGAAAGCTCAAAATGGCGACTGCGGATTGAAATGCGGCCTGAATGTATTGGGCGTGGTTGTAACTATATAAGGATGATTGAAATCCCTGAATTGCGGCCTGGTGTGTTACAGGGGCTGCAGTCACTATGGCAGGCACTTGTGTGGCCTACTGGAAGAACCACGTGGCCTGCTCAAAATGGCAGCCGCGGCAAATTCCGGGGAGTTACTGGGATATTCAGGGCTGTCATTATAGCCTGGAACCTAGGCCAGAGGAAGCGATGAAATTAATCAATCCTCTGAGTCCAAGGCAACAACAGGGAGCTCTGTTAGGGCCTCCGTTGCCTCATGCATCAAACAAAATGGCGGCTGCTACTATTGGGCCAAGGCGGACGATGTCCGGATGCCTCAAATGCTAAAATGTGAGGGGCCCGTAGCGGCAGCTCCAGGCGCTATGCTGGATTGAAGAAATGGCGATCCGCCTGTAATTTGTAATGGGAGTGAGTTCCCATGTCGGTGTCGAAGCCTAGTTGCTTTTAGTGGCAGCCAAAATGGTGGCCGCGGCTGTTGGGGACGGCTTGGGAGGACTTGGGAAGACTGAGGGGCCATAACGCTGTGCAGGATCGGCGAAAAAAGGCAATAAAAAACAGCGAGTTGCCTGCGATTCCTCCAGAGGGGAATTGGGGTGCTCGGGGAGAGCTGACGGAGGGAGGATGGTTGAAAGGGTTTCCCCAGATCCCTGGGGAAGGAAAAAACAGGGAAGCTGCAACTTCCAAGTCTCATGTATATTCTCTTTTTTCAACCCTAAATATGTAATAATAATAATGATAATGATGATAATGATAATGATAAAGATGGAAGGGACCTTGGAGGTCATCTAATCCAACCCCCTGCTCAGGTAGGAAACCCTATACCATTTCGGACAAATGGCTGTCCAGTCTCTTCTTAAAAACTTCCAGTGTTGGAGCATTCACTGCTTCTGGAGGCAAGTTGTTCCACTGGTTAATTGTTCTTACTGTCAGGAAGTTTCTCCTTAGTTCTAGGTTGCTTCTCTTCTTGATTAGTTTCAACCTGTTGCTTCTTGTGGAAAGCATCCTTGGCTACAAAAAACTTGCTCAGGCCTGCTGCAGCCAGAGTTTGAAAGCTAAAAATCAATGCTTTTCATTTCTCCCAGATACAAACCATGGTCTACATGACATTTTCTGCACGGCATGTTACAGTTTCTTTGAGTCCTAACTGGCTTCTGAGTTCTTCTGAGTTTTTTTCCAGCTGAGGTTTCCAGACCAGATGCAAAGACAGATTCATGCAGAATGTATCCTAAGGTTATGCAGGTCATCCATAAATAACCATTACTTCCAAAACATGTCAACAGAACTTTACAAATTTGGGCCATGCACCATTGAAGAAGAGAGAATCAAATTGCAAAAGGCCACGGCAATGCATGAGGTTTTCCTAATTCTTTTTATGACATTTATGTGCCATAAAAGACACACATTAAAACTCTAAAAAAAATGGAGCAGGATTTCCTGAATGATAATTTCCATTTCTCCAAATCAGGCATCTTAATACTAAGAATTCCAGGGCTATGTGGCCACTTTCACTGAAAATTTAGTTCATATCTAAATCATATCATTTTTAGTCTGAAATGCATATATGCCTTAGATATATATAACTGTGTTAAAGATAACAGATTTCTGGACTTTTTGTATATGAAGAAAAGCTACATAAAACTGCTAGTTTTTAAATAAGGAATAGATAAGATATTCTCATAGACAAAAAAAGATACTTTATTGCTTCCATGGATGCCTAAGACAAAATCATTCTGACTTGTCTTAAGACATCACATCTAGCTAATGAGAAAATTCTTTGGTACCTGAAAAACTGTATCTATCTAAGGTAACTCTTTAGAGCATAAGAGAATCAGTACTGCTGTGTGAAGTACTGATGTGTGAAGTAATATGAACTAATCATATTAACTGCATAATTTCATAATTAAATTTAAATCTAATTCAAATAAAATGAAATGAAATTTTGGGCTTGCTCCATTGCTCCATTATTATTCTGAAAAGATCCCAGCATACAACTCAAAAGTTAAGTGCCATACTTTCAGTGTGAAAAGTTATGAAACCTCAAATTCATCTGTGGTTTGTCTGACTGTAGCCTTGAATCCAAATCACTAAAGCTTTGGGATCACCACTGAACTTCACGTTTGTTTCTCAAATAAATGTTTAGAGAGTTACTTTAGTACTTAAGCATTTAAAAAAAAACCACTAAATTGTGAAACCTGCCTTCTCAATCCCTGCATTTTATCCCTAATTTCTAAAGTCAAGACTTCACTTAAACATAAATGATTTCAGCTTCAATCAAAGATAAAAGAAGAATCAAAAATAAATATATAAGACCAGACAGCACTAACAGCAACTCTGGGCAATTAAAACAAAAAGTTAGATAAGGTTTGGGAACCCTGTAATTCTTTTCCATAATACTGTATAGGACCTGTTAATAAACTTACAGGAACAACCATATGCATATATTTTTAAAACTCACATGTGTAACATTGCAGCTAAATGTACTTTAGTTTTCTGTCCAGACAGAAAACAGTCTCGACAAAAACATTGCAACTATGCTAAAATAAAAGGCATATTTACTCACCTACAACCTGGATGATTTCAGCCAGTAAAACTCCATCGGTCACATCTTGCTGCAGATCTTTTATCAAGCGTTTATGGCCAGATTTTGCTAGGTAATGATTGGCCCAATCTGTGTAAATCTGTAGAAAGGAAAAGGAGAGCCAAAGTTAGGCCCTTTTCTGTTTAAATCATTAATTTCTCCCTTAAAATTAATGAAAGCCAGCCCCAACTTTGGCAGCCTCTGGAACAAGTGGGACAAAGCGTTTCCCTTCTTTTCCCAAACCAGTTTGAAGCAAAGTTAGCAACATTAAAATTCAAGGCATTGTGCTGATCAAGTATTCAGCTTATTATACTGGGGCTTTCTTGTATAGAGAAATTTGACATCAGAGCAGGAAGAAAATAAAGAAAGCTTCTAAACATGCTACAGTCTGAATTAATAAGTTATCAGACATGGAACTAAACAGTCTGCGTAAGAGGCTGGACTGGATTTCTCTACTGAGTTGACATTCTCCTTTTGTATCCTTATCGAGAAGCCATACCGATACTGAAATGTATGATTGTGCACATGTTTACACCAAGTTTCGTAAAAGTAAATAATTAGGGTATTTTAAATGGATACATTCTTTTAAATTGCAGTTAACCAGATATGTAAATTACATTAGCACTGCCACATAGCACAGGGCTGTCAACCGTTATAAAAGGGCTATTCAGGATAAGGTTTGTAATATGCAAAGTGTGTTTTTGTCCCCCAAACAGCTTAAAAGGTCTATAAGTCTTGACAATTTCTCCTTTATTTCCAGTATTTCCAGAGGAGGTGTACACATATACAAAGTTGCATATACACAAAAAAATGTACATGAGTATCTGATTTCTATTTGAAGTAATTATGTTCCAACTTGATTAACTAAGCATAAAACAAGGTTTTTAAAAACAACTAACTGAAGCTAAAACCATTAACCTTGCATCCCAGAAAGCACTGATGCACTTAAAATATACATTGGCCTTTGGAATGCAAAACTTTACATCCATTTCTGAGATTATAAAAGGCAGATATCTTCATACAAGCAATTTGAAAGTAAGCCCTACTGTAAGCAATGGAAAGTGCTTCGAAATAAAAAAAGATTCATAAGAGGCGGATGTTTATGTCCTTATCCAGAGAATTTTCTTTCATCACCATTCATTTTAGCGTGAGCTCAGCCAATAAAAACTACACATGGTGCAGTGGTTAGAATGCAGTATTGCAGTCTAACTCTGCCCACAGTCTGGAGTTCAATCTTGACAAGCTTGAGGTTGACTCAGCCTTCCATTCTTTTGAGATCAATATAATGAGGACCCAGATTTTGGAGGGCAGTAAGCTGGTGTTGTAAACCTCCTAGAGCAGGCATGTCAAACTCATGACATCATGTGACATTGTGCGACAAATGGGAACTTTTTTCCCATTATGGGTGATGGGGTGGGCGTGGTTTTGGTGTGATGCATCTGGCCCGTGGGCCGGCAGTTTGACATGCCTGTCCTAGAGAGTGCTGAAAAGCGCTATGGACTGGTATATAAGTCTAAGCACTATTGCTACTGCTATTTTGAAAAGTGTGTTGTAAGAGTTAGATGAACAGTGTTTTCAGTTGTGTTTTCACTATATTCAATTAATATTTATTATTTGTTAGATTTACACCCCACTTGTTCTCGAAATACTCAAGTTAATGTACATAGGATCTACCTCTCTAATTTTTATATTATATCTCATTACTCATTATATTTTTTTCCTTGTAATATCACTCTGCTGAACACTTAATTTACATAGTTCTGTCTTATATCTAAGTATATTTACCCATATAGTATGTCTGTATTACTTTTATTTTTCTAATCTGGTCCATTACCTTCTCTTATTGGTATCTTTATTAAGATTAATATTACTTTGATATATGATTATTATTACTTTGTTGTTTTGCACGCATGCTGAGAGTTTGTGCACCAGAGACAAATTTCTTGTGTTTCTATCATACATGGCCAATATTCTATTCTATTCTATTCTATTCTATTCTATTCTATTCTATTCTATTCTATTCTATTCTATTCTATTCTGTTCTGTTCTGTTCTGTTCTATTCTGTTTTGCTCTGCTCTGTTCTCATTGTGTGACACATCACTTTTACATCAATTTTCATCATCATAGCTGAAAAAAAATTGTAAGGAGCACTTTCACCATCTAGTTAAAATCTCAGAACAGTAAATGCATAAGTGGCCGATTACTTTGCTTGGCCAAAGCAGAAGGATGAAAGAAGCAAGATTAGTGATATCACATGATAAACAGCTATGTTCTAGAAATAAGGTATGGAAAAAGCTGTTTCCTGACATCTTTGAATATCAAAGATGTCATTGCTACAATCCATTTGCTGAAAGGAACTTTACCATATGTTTATTTGAATCTGATAAAATTATATGTGCTGGGAGAAAAATCTACATCCTGCATTTTTATTTTCTAGCTCAGTATTATGAATACAAAATTTGCCAGGTCATTTCTCATTTTTAATTTCTCACTTTATATTCATTGTTAGCTTCCTTAGTATACATTATACATCAAACCAATTATGGTGCAGAAACAGAAGGCTTCTTGCTGCCAGGCATTGTAACTTAAGCTTTCTTCCATTTTGCTTTTCACACTTAGGAAATTCAACAGTATAAGTCCCAACTCAGTTGTTTGAGATGGGAACTAGTGATAGCATACTGTGATTTCCAATATTCCCTCTTCCTCTAATTAATGAATCAAAAGCTATCAAATATTTCAAGGAACTGAAAAGATTTAAAAAAAGCAGCCGAAGATTGTAACAGATTGAGGAAATTTGTTATGTTGGTTTTCCTGAATATTTTCCTTCTTGAAACTGTGTATTTATTTCTGAGCAAAAATACAATCATTTGCTCATCAGCATATGAAGTTGCTGTATAATGAATGACATTGTTGGTTTGTATCTATAGGAACTATCATCTCTCAGCTGGCAATGCTCTCTTAGGGAGCATTGCAGACGTTTTCCAGCAGTAGTAGCAGAGGATTTTCTAATGAAACGTGTGCAAAAAAAAAAAAAAAAAAAAGATGCCGGAACTCACACATGTTGTACAACCTGCCTTGCCTACCCTACAAGGTTCCATCCAAAAAAGGTGCTGGAACTCTGTTCTGGGCGTTCTATGAGAAAAAAAGCTCTGGCCATACTAGTTATGACAAAAGCAATTCCCATTTACAGCTTGCCTCCCCATAGTTTCCTTCTTCAAGGGCTATCTCCATCACAGCCAGACTCTGATGATGGAATCATCCTCATTTAGGTTAGCAAGCACTTTGAGAGAAGGGTGATAATTTGTCAATGGGGGGGGGGAGTTAAAGGTCAACACCTTCCACAGACAGTGTTAAAAACTAGAATCTGTAGAAAAGTAGGCTGAGCTGGAGGCGGGGTTAAAGGTGTCATCACTTTGGAATCATTGCACAGTCACAAGAGACCAAAATCTATTTCCCTCCTGTGAATTCCATTGACCTTATCCAGCACTGATTTAGCTTTGACCATTAGCTGATTAGATTCTTATGTATAAGTGGCAAAAATAAAGTCTTCTGTGCTTTGAACTGAAGCACATGCTTCTGGTTATTTACGCGTGAGAGAATTGTATCCAGAAGTGCCAGCTGGTTTGGTCCATTCTGTAAGCATTGGTGGATAATTTTTTTTTAAAAAAAAATGGATAACTAAGTTATCCTAACTAGTAGAGAAGGTAACCCTGTACATTTTTGTCAGGATGTGGCAGGCAACTTGTTTAAAAAGAGTAAAACAAGAACAGCAGCAGAAGCCAACTAAAGGCAATGACAACCCAGAAATGCCAGGAACTAAGTGTAGGGAGAAGTACTAGTGCCTAGAAAGATAAGTAAGAGGACGGGGGAATGGCCTGGTGTGGGAAACCATCTCTCAGCACTTTGGTCTTATTGGCCATCCCACTTACATGCTGATTAACTGGTTGTTTAATAATAATAATAATAATAATAATAATAATAATAATAATGTTGGAAGAGACCTTGGAGGTCATCTGGTATAGTAATAATAATAATAATAATAATAATAATAATAATAATAATAATAATAATAATAGTAATAAAGTTGGAAGGGACATTGGAGGTCATCTGGTCCAACCCCCTGCTCAGGCAGGAAACCCTATACCAGACAAATGGCCGTCCAGTTTCTTCTTAAAAACTTCCAGTGTTGGAGCATTCACCACTTCTGGAATGTTGTTTACTGGTTAATTGTTCCAACTGTCAGGAAATTTCTCCTTAGTTCTAGGTTGCTTCTCTCCTTGATTAGTTTCCATCCGTTGCTTCTTGTCTTGCCCTTCAGGTGCCTTGAAAAATAGCTTGACTCCCTCTTCTTTGTAGCAGCCCCTGAGATACTGGAACACTGCTATCATGTCCCCCCTCGTCCTTCTCTTCGTTAAACTAGACATACCCAATTCTAGCAGTCATTCCTTATATGCTTTAGCCTCCAGTCCCCTAATCATCTTTGTTGCTCTTCTCTGTACTCTTTCTAGAATCTTAACATCTTTTTTACATCATGGTGACCAAAACTGGATGCAATATTCCAAGTATGGCCTTACCAAGGCATTGTAAAGTGGTATTAATACTTCATGTGATCTTGATTCTATCCCTCTGTTAATGCAGCCTAGCACTGTATTGGCCTTTTTGGCAGCTGCAGCACACTGCTGGCTCATTTTTAAGTCCACTAGGACTCCAAGGTTCCTCTCACAGTTACTACTACTGAGCAAGGTACCCCTTATACTATACCTGTACATTTGGTTTTTCTTGCCTAACTGTAGAACCTTACTTTTTTCACCACTGAATTTCATTTCGAACACGTGTCCCCAACCTTTTGGGCACAAGAGACCGGTTTTGTGGAGAGAGGTTTTTCCGCAGACCAGAGGGGACATGGTTTCATGTACTGTCTGCATCCCGTGGATGGGACTTTGCTTGTTTGAGCAGACCAGTTTCTGGCATGTCGTGGACCGATGCTGGTCCATGTACCGGGATTTGGGGACTCCTGATTTAGAAGACTCTCCTACTTATATGTCATGGTTGTGACTGATTTTGTTAATTTAATACATCCATATTTTTTAAATGATAAA